ACATATTTGACAAACGAAGCAATAAACACCATTATAATGAGGGTAGCTACTTTTGGTACATTTTTTTAAACTACATTCAAGATTTTAATTAATTTCAATTAATGTCATAATAATGATATAATTAATTAAAATTTTAAATGAATATCAAAAATTTATAAATTATATTGATAAAAATATAAATTGTTGTAATTATAATTTTTTGAAAATTAAAAAATTCGACGATCTCAAAGCAGAGACAAAAAAATTTTTATTTTAGTATTTATTTAAAATCGTTGTAATTAAAAAAAACAGTTCAATTTTTAATAAACAAAAAATAAGCTTTTTTATATTTCCAGTTTAATATTTATTAATATTATTAATTCTTTGTCTTATTTCGAAATTTCCTATTTAATTCCAAGAATCTTTCATGAATATTTTTAATTCTAGTGGAATATTTGGAATATGCTGCTGGAACATAATTTGCAATATTTTACTAGATAATTTTATAACTTTTACACAGATTATTTCAATATTTATTCCTATGAATAAATTGAAATAATTTACAAGAATTAATTCAAAAACATAAACGAAAAATATTTTTAAAATGTTCCAAAGGAATATTCCTTTAACATTGATTGAATATTTTAAGAAAATTCCTGAGAAATAATTCCTGCAAATTTATGAGAAACATTTTTAAAATATTACCATTTTATATAAAAATCGTTGCAGTGTCTTATATGTTACATTAAACAATTGAAATAAATAAGCACAAATGACCTTGACCTCATTAAGAAAAATAATGGGGAAACTTCTTTGATGTAAAAAATAAAGATTTTGATCGCGATAATTTAATCAAATCGTCACGCTTGCAGATCTATTCACAACTTGATTAAAAGCCTGAAAAGAAAAGTATATATAAATATTAAAACGCCTTTAATCTTATTAAAATTTCTTCTATTTATGTGAGCCAAATAAACCAGATAAAAAATTTAAAAAGTTCCTAAGCTTTCTTTAAATGAATTTTAAAAATAAAATATGAATAGTTACAGGAAAATTAAGACCGCGTTTAATCAGAACTTATTTACTAACAATTGTTTTGGAACAGTCGATTTGAGTTTTAAAAAAATCGAGGAAAGATCGAACAACTGTTGAGAAACAGGATGCAGATCTGAAGTGACAGGTTACAACCTACTTTAAAAATTGAACATCCGAGAGGACAATGTTATCATTACCATATCCCTGAGATTAAAGGGGACATCTGTAATAAAATTAATGGAATACTCCGTAAAGGTACAATCAACAGTGATTGATCACAGTCAGTTAGCAGCAATAGTGATTAATCGAATCCTATTGTTATGGTTCAAAAAAAAACCAGAAAGAAATTACAGATTGTGTTTTGATTTCCGTAAATTAAACTCTATCAATTCAAAAGATCACTCTTTGTAATACATCAGTCACGTTCAAAGGGTTTATGTATACTGTGATTACACCAGACCTTAAAACTTTTGTCATCAATTATTTAGATTTTTGTTTGTTTGTTTGATTGTTTCGAAGACGTTTGATAAACATTTATATAATCTGAACCTAGTGCTGCATATAGAGTATCTTGGATTTATAGTAAACGAAAAGGGATTCCAGATTGATGATGATGAGATATATCCGATTCAAAAATTTCTTACATCAAAATAAAATTAAGCATTTACAGATGCTAACTGATATATAGAAGTATCTATAGAAGTACCTCATATAGAAGTTTTATCTCACATTTCGACGAATTAATTGAACCATTGCACAAATTACTGAGGAAGGGCATTCCTTGGAATGTATACCTTTTCAGCTTAAAACTAAATAGTAAACAATTATTGCACTCTACTACTTAAAAAAACGAGTAAAAACGGGTAAAGAACGTATAAAAGTAGAACCGTTATGTACGGAAACATTACATAGAAATCAGTTTTGTACCGATTCCTTGAACGAATTTTATATGAATTTTATATTGATATCCATGCGAATTTCCTTGCAAAATTTAAATAAACTAATTTTATTTACAATTCATATATACATTTTGTATACGAAAGACCATTCCAAAACGCCACACGAATTTCAATTGAAATTTCGTAGAAAAACTGCAGGAATCTCTATCGAAATTCATCCGAAAATCGCCTTAAAAAAATTTCATCTAGCTAATACAAACAATTAATAAAATGTAAAAAATACACAGAAAATTAAAAGGGCATTAAAATAAGCTGCAACGCTTATTATTTTTAATGGAAAATTTAATTAAAATGGATTATTAATCCATTTTGGTATTAAAATAAGCAAAATTGAATTAAAATAATAAGCGTTGCAGCTTATTTTAATGCCTTTTAATTTTCAGTGTAAACAAGTTAATCTTTAAAGCGAACAATATGATCACCTATAAGTTTAGGTTCGAATTACCATTCGGTCCAATAAATTTTGGATCAAATACCTGTTGGATCTAATTTTCATTGGAATGAATTAGCATTTGGTCCATTGACTTTTCAATCAAATAGCCGCTTAATATAATTTCCATCAAAATCAATTACCATTCGGACCATTGACTTTTTGATCAAATATCCTTTCAATCCGTTCAAACCAATTACCATTCAGTTCATTGACTTTTCGATTGAATTTACATTCTAACAAATTACCATTCCGACCATAGTCTTTTTATTTACTATACATGAATTGAGATACTCTACCGTCGGAAATTAGCGGTACGAACGACGTTCGGGCAAAGAAAAATCGCTGTTGCAATTTATTTAACATATTTTAATTTTGAAAATTGATAGAAACTTGCACGGAGAAAAAGAAAAAGTAATTTTTACTACTTTCAGAGTAAAACTGGACCAACTCGAAGTTTCTGCGCATCTCTGGCAATTTTTACTCCAAAAATAGTAAAATTTATTATTTCTGTAGTAAATTTTACTGTTTCCGTAGTAAGTTTTACTACACGGAGAGAAATAGATGGTAAGAACTTATGATCTTAAGATGGTAAAAAGTAGATATTATCCGGTACTATCATTATGCTACTCAGTACTATCAAAGATGTTACAAAAAGTATGGTTATGTTACCCACTACAATCAAGATGTTACTTCGAACAATCTGGATAGTAACTGATAGAATCTAGATTGCTGTCCGTATATGTAAGATCAAATATGGTACCTGGTACTATCTAGATAGTACCTCGTACCATCTATTTCTCTCCGTGTATTTCTAGAGTAAATTTTACTATTTTTGGAGTAAAAATTGCCAGAGATGCGCAGAAACTTCGAGTTGGTCCAGTTTTACTCTGAAAGTAGTAAAAGTTACTTTATAAAAGAAATCTTTTTTCTCCGTGTGGTTCTTTAATTGTTTTAAAGCTTATAAAATTCTGCGCCTATTGATATATAAATAGATATTTTTTTTATTTTCGAGAGATTTTATCACCTGAAAGGTATTAAAAAAAATTGATTAATTTTTCTAAAATCGTGCAATATTTTTGTGTGGCTCTATATTCTAGAGAAATTGAGAAAAAATTTAAAAACTCATACAATATAATCGTTAAAGTCTCAGCTTTTATTTAAGCTTTTAAAACTTAAAATACGTTCAATCCAAGAACCAAGTTTTTATCTATTTTCAAAATTAAAATATGTTAAATAAATTGCAGCAGCAATTTTTCTTTGCCCGCACGTCGTTAGTACCGACAACTTCTGACTGTAGTGTAGTACTGTTGTCCGACAAATGTAATATTTAAAGTTAAATTTAAGGGGTAAGATTATATAGTAAGAAAATTTAATATGATTAAAAAATGAATTCAAAAATTACTACCCTGGATAGTGATTTTGTTAACCTTAGCGTTATTTTGAAAATTTGTAGTCAGCCATTTTAAATTTCAAAAATCTGACGCCATATTCGTAATGAGCAACCCCAAAAACACCCGAGTAACAAGTTTTAAGAAAAACTGCCCATTTTTATAAATATTTCCGCTATATTGGATCCGCTAGTTTGAATTTTAAAGAAAAAATTTATTATTAAAATAAATTATTGAAATAGATTCTGTTTTACATGCTCTGGATGATGTTGCCCCTTAATGAATATTAAAATATTAAATAAAAATATCCATTTTAGTTAGATTTTTGAGTCTAGACTTTTGTCCACAACTCAGGAAACATTCAAATTGGTTATGTTTTATAATTTTTGATGAATTTAAAGTGATAGAAAATATTATAATGCACTAAATACTCTAAAATTATTTCGGAAGATAAATAAAAAAATGATGATCAGTTTATAGTTATGAAAGAACTGCCGAGCGCAAATAATTTCACATGAAGTCTAACGGAATTGGTAGTATGACAAGTAATACAGTTGAGAAAAGAAATATAATTAATATACAATAAAATCACTTACTTTTTTAATTTGTTTATAATTGATGAACCATGGAATCTTCATGTAAATTTAAATAATATCTTGAACTGAAATTTGAATTGATTTAATTACTGTAACTTGAAGATATAATTTGGGAGAATTTGAATATTTTGGAAGAATTTGAATAAGTGACTAAAAACTGAAGAAAGAATTAGAATTTAAATGATTTTGAATTAGCAGAAAGAACTTGTAATTATAACTCGGATAGGAACTAGAACTTGAGAAGAATTGGAACTGAAAACTGACTTTTTCTTTTGTTTTTCTATTGGTAACCTTTCTTAAATATTGTATTTATTATTGTAAAAGAGAACAAAACTATTACATTCTTTTGTGTTTAATAAAATGTATTGAAAAAATAGAAAAATTACTTTATTTATATACAAATCCAGATCCCGCGGTCTAAAAAAACCTCGTGTATAATTAAAAGTAATTTAAAAGCAAAGTTCCAATAAATTTTGAATAGATATTAAGTATTATGAATGTCAGAGTAGCAGTGAAGATTTCTTTTAGCTAAATAGAAAGGAAATTCTGCTGTTCATCAATTCATTTAATCACGTCATCTCAAAATATAAACAATTTTTTTCTTTTTCAGATATAACTCCAGATATTACAGATCAGACTTCAGCTCCATCTTTTTGGAGTTCACAAATAAAAACTGGCAACAAATTCGGAGAAAGTGACCCCGCTTATTTTGCTGATAGTTTAGTTCAATCGCATGCTGCAGCTAATGTTTTTCAAAGTGGATTTGGCGGTATTGACAATCTAGGAAGTCGAGGTGTCACAGTTAGACCACCTAGAACAAGACCGTTAGATTACAGTGAAAGAGCAACTGCTGAACTACGTAGAAATCCATCATTATCTGCTCCAGATGAGTGTGCACGTGCTTGCAGAGAAGGAGAACCACATAGAATTTGCTACTATCATTTCACTTTAGAAATGTATACTGTACTTGGGGCGTAAGTATTTCTAATAATGGTTATTTTTATTAGTTATAGTTCCTAAATCCGTTCACGCTCACAAAGTTTTATGTTACGACAATTTTCATCAATTACATAAAACTGTTTTTTTAAAGGGCTTGTCAAGTGTGCACACCTAATGCAACGAATACAGTTTGGAGTCACTGTCAATGTGTTCTTGCTGATGGTGTTGAAAGGGGAATCCTCACAGCAAACAGAATGATTCCCGGACCAAGTATACAAGTCTGTGAAGGCGATAAAGTTGTAATTGATGTTGAAAATCACATTGAAGGAATGGAAGTGACACTTCATTGGCATGGAATCTTCCAAAGAGGATCACAATATTACGATGGTGTACCTTTCGTTACTCAGTGCCCAATAATGCAAGGAACTACATTCAGGTAAAATAATTTTATAAATGATTATCTTCAGTCTATCATATACATTATGATTTTAGAAAACTCCTAGCAAAAAGCGAAGTAGGGTTTATTAAATTTTCACTTTTTAAAAGAAGAATTTAAAAAGAATATATTATTTAGAAACAAAAAGAACGATCCATAACAAAAAAATTTGTTCCTTTGGATCTTGGTAGCTTAGTGTCCCCTCTAACATTTACTTATTTACTTCGAAATAAACATGAAAAGAAACATGACAAAAAGTCTAAGAATTGGTCACAGTTGTGGTCAAGCGTTTTTTACAAGGTCTATAGTTGGAGAATTGTTACAATTATGTAACTCCTCTTTACAAAAAGGTAAGTATTGTTACGTCTCAAATAGAGAAATAACTAACGAAATAATATTTTATTTTATTTATGGCCGCTCGGTGATTCAGTGAATTCCTGTTTTATTTACAGAGCAGAAGGCTCTGAGCTAAGGGTACAGGAAAGAAAGAGAATAGTGATTTTTAATGACAAGGTTAAAAATTTATTTAGACAAAAATTTATAGTTATAAAATTGATTTTTGAGAGAGAGTATCCTGAAGTATTCTTCAAGTATTCAAGTTCAAGTATTCTTGAAATAAGGTGAAGTCAGCATTCCACTGCAACAAGGAATGTAAAGGTTACTACAAATTTTTATAAGGAGTTAGGAAGGATTTAGATAAAAAATATTACAACTTACCTTGAAAATTTAGATGTAAGATGTATGAAAAAGGACCACTGCTGTGTCCTAATTATGATAGGAACTTCTGGTACCAGATATAGTTTAAGAGCTCACAGAAAGGTTGACATAGACATAGAGATTCTTCTAAGTCGAACTTGAGTATGAAATCGAGCAGAGTAACAATGCTTGTACTAGATTTCGTATGTGACAAAGACGTGCTGATACCAAAATATGAACTGAACTAGCGGTTTCGGTGGCAATTTCTGAACTGGTACCAAATATGAAGTAGAAATAACGTGTATGATGAAAAGTTCTGAACTGAACTCTCCGTAAAAAAGTAGTCCTTTTATATCAAGTTTTCATAAGAGAGACTATAAAATTTTATTGTCTTGTGTTGCCCTAAAATTTGAAGCTAGTTCTATCTCTCTCTTTTTAATTAAGCCCAAAGAGGGTTTGTCTGATTATAATACAGAATTTAGAAAGAGCACACCTCTGTCATGGAATCGCAGGTGTAAGAGAGAAACACTACAGGGGTAGTACATGAGTATATTAGAAAGAGAGCGCCTTCGTGTCAAATCGCAGCTGTAGGAAAGGGACACTCGTTTATGCCCTTTTAAGGAAATACTGAGTTTCTCGCTTCCAATTATATATTTTTAGAAATACAATATATGAACGTACAAGGATACAAAACGCAGGGGTCTTTATATATAAAAGAAAAGATGATTATCCGCACGACAAAGGGGCGGGAGTTTTACATTTAAGTGAAAGGTATTTAGATGCGTGACAAAAACACGAGTGTTTGTCGTAGAGAAATACAACTCGGTATTGATTAAAAAAAATGATTCTTATAACATGAATGTAAAAGTTACGGTGACGTGACAGGATGATACATTTACTTCAGAAATTCAGAAACAGTTCGGTTAATGGTCGTCAGGCTTTTGTCATGTTGTATTTACATTTCAAAGTAAACTGAGTAAAAATAAAAAAATTATTACTGATGGGGTGCGGATTAATTTCCCGGCTTATTTATTCGGATTGTGATAAATGAACACACTAAATCCTGTTTGTTGCGGACCATTTCTCCATTTTTTGCATAACGATTTCTAATTATTTCGGGTTCATTTCTGATTAAGTTTATAATGATGGAATCCTTTAACGATTATTAATAAAAAACAAACGTACCCCGACCACATTATTCGAACACTTAATTTATCTTTAAACTTACGCCAAAGGGAAATTTACTTTACCACAGGGAAATACTTACCAAAGAAATCACCGGTGCTATTGTGACTAAACAAGAAGCAAACTCACCATCAACGCTGAATTAACCAACGATGACGACGACGTTGACTGTAATCGACGAACGATATTTGCTCTAATATATTCACTCAATAAATAAAAACAACTAATAAACTCGACAAAAACAATTAACAATAAATAAAAATGGATTTTTTAAAGATAACACTAGATTAGATACAAAAAAAGCGTGAAACGAACTAATTGATGCCGACTTTCCCTCAGATCCTTAACCTGTAAGGGGTGCGCTATCCTCGTTTCTGGTCAACCCCATCGCTCCATCCTTTTCTCTTGACGATTTTGGTGACAATTTACATGGTAACTCAGATAACGACGCTGACAATCGGGTCTTTAGGCGACACACATACGCAATTCATTTACTCGCTGACAAAGAATATTCAACAACTGACTGATTGCGATGGGCCTTTGGCCCTGTGGACTTTATAGCGGCAGTTTTTCCAAACCTGCTCCCCATGGTGCATCGGTAGTAAGGAGGCTTGTCAAATCACCGCCGAATCTCCATGTTGGTAGTGTCTTCGTTAAAAAGTAGATTAGCTTTTATTAACATTAAGAGCATAGTCCTTAAAGACCCAGGTATCCCAGTCGACCTAGCCAACTCAGCGCAATTCTGATCGAGATGTGCAAAACGCAAACAGAAACACATATATATATATATATATATATATATATATATATATATATATATATATATATATATATATATATCTAAGTAACGATATACTTCGTTACAAGTTTTTTGACAGGCATAATTTGGATTTTTTGCGGAATAATTTTATAGAACTGCCGGATTGATATACCAGATTTGTCTCTTCATCCGGACTATTTTTGCACTATTATAGATCATTTACTATAAGTCTAATCATATTTAACCCTTCGTCTGTGAACGTCAACATGCAGGTAAGCAAAACATATTTTTGGTTTCATCGGGTTTTTGAATAACTAATGTTGCAGAATAAGGGGAAATTTTTAATTCATTACATATTAAATAATGATTTATTAATTAACCCAAGAACTTATACCTTCCCAGTATTTCCCTAAAAAACAAATAATTTTCTTTTTGAAATCTTCATTTAAGAAAATATAGAAATATTGAAACAGCATCCGCAAATATTAAGCACAATTGGTTTTGGCAAATAGAAAATCATTTTAGGCAGAAAAATTGAGTAGAATATTGGAAAAAGATGACCTTGACCTAATTAGAAAATAATAGAAAGACTTAGTTGAGAATTTAAAAATATAAAAAAAGATCAATAAATTTATTTATTAGGCCTGTAGATTTACCTAAAACTTAATAAAAGGTCAGGAATGGCCTCGTCTTTAAATATTTATATATTTTCTATGCACAAATCTGCGAATAAATTTCAGGAACGGTTTTAAAACATTTTTACAGGTAAGGTACATATATCATCTCATTCATCTCCTCAACAGCAAATGCTTATGAAGTTAATCGGATGAGGAGTAAGAATTTTCTCTAAATTTAAATTGGTCTAGATTTGATTGTCAGAATTATCTTATGGTATAATTCTCACTACACCTAATTTGTATTTAATTAAAGTATTTACCCTAAACTTTACTTAATCTAATCTTCAATTAACTTAATCGTCATTTCTACTGTCCAAAATAAAAACTTAGCATGTTGCTTTTCCATAAGTTTGAAAGTCTACAGGCCTGACCAGATGATTGTCACCCTTACGAAAAAGGAACTTGGTTTTTATTTTGGATAGTAGATTTGAACTGACTTTCATTTGGATTAATCTTTCTGTAACTTAATTCTTATTTAACCTAACTTTCACTTGACCTAGTTTTGATGTGACTTAAACCCCATTCGACCGAATTATTATTTGCGACAATTTTTAATTGGAGTATTTCTTATATGGCCTAATCTCCATTTAATATAATTCAAATATGGCCAAATGTTTATCTATCCTAATTCTTATTTATCCTAATCTGTAACTTAATTATTATTTATTTCTATTTTGCTAGTTAAAGATGAAGCGATGTAAGAATCACAGAAATCTATATACTACTGGAACGTACACTGCAGTATATAGCCGCTGTCCACAGAGAAAAGAAAGGTAGTGAGAGAGAAATGACCCCAAACGTAGTCTGTTGCACATCCGTTTTCCACTTACAGGTTTAAATGGGCAGTGCTTGTTCCAGTAGTATATATGTTACTGCAAAAACAAATAATCAAAAGTTTCTTAATAGCTTAAATTCATTGCTTGCCGGTAATTAGTATCCGTACAGACTTTTCTTTTTAATGCAGGATGTTTATATTATTCCTACTACAAAATGATAACATAAAATATCATCATTCTAATAGTAGGAATTAATCTAATTTCTCCTCTTCCCTCCTCTGCATGATCCCTATTAAAAATTTGGATCCGGTATTTCCTCTGCGTCATCTACAGGAGCATCGCAGTACATACATCTTTCATCTCTTCTTATTTTAAACCGATGCAGGTTCAGGCCAAAAAATAACGTGAGCTGAAAACGCTTGTGTCAGGTCGTGTGTCCACCTTCCTTTTGCCTCCAATCCAAACTGAAGATGATCTTTACAACGTGATGAGAAAGGATAACTTAGAAAAAAATGAACGATGCAAGTGTAAGTACATTCCCTACCGAAAGAGAGGTACTGGAATGGTACTGAATTGGACATGGCTTCAGTTCCACTTCAGTACCACTACCTGATAACCCATAAGAAGACATTTTTAAAGTACTTTAACAATAGTTTAAAAGGTGTGTTCGAACAGCAAAACGTCTCTCATGATATCCGTGTAAAACAGCAAAAAAAAACATAATAGTTTGTAGAAAATTTCAGTTAAGTTTGGAAATTATATTGCAATCCCTCCTTGAACAATAGACTCCAAGGTCCTTTGTTGAAGGATTACAATTTTAACCCGAGTTTTATTGCTTAAAAAATTTGTAATTTTAACAACTCAACTTTAAAAAATATATATTGAGATTCATTAAAATTTCTAGATTATGAATATCTAAAATTTATCATAAAATAATTACATTTAAAAAAGTTATAATTTATCTCGTATACCTTAAGTTTGATAAAAAAATGGACATCATTTTTTAATTTAGCTGCCAAAGGAAATATCATATGCATAATAATGTATGAAAATAATATAAATCCATGAAAAACAAATATAATATTGAAATAAATATAAAGTTTTAGTTTAAACATATTGAAAAAGCTAGTCGCTTTTCACTTTTATGAGGGTATTAACGGTAACTCGACCCTTTTCGCAGGTAAATTTCCCAGTTCCATTTCAGTACCAAAATGCACCAAATTAGTACTGAGTTGGTACTGAGATCTCAGTTCCAATTTCCCAGTACCAATCCAGTACCACCCTTCCGGTAGGGTTAGCAAAAGACTCTATTGGTTATAGACAAGAAAATTTATTATTTCTGCTAGACAAGAAGCAGTAGCTAAAGACTACAAAAACAGTCAGAAAAAAATGAAAACTATTTCAAATAAAATTCATGAAGTTATTGAAGTTGGATACAAAATGACAATCCCAATTCCAGGCGTATGTAAGGCGAAGATTGACTTAAGGAATTTTATTGAAGTGGCCTTGCAATTGCACAAAGTCGTGCAATACTAAAAGATGTTTATGTAAAAAATGCCTTCTATGCAACTCAAAATGTCATCGGAGTTCAACATGTTGCAATATGCTTTCGAAATGTCAATGTTCATATGTGAATTGATCAGTTCACAATATCTTCTTACAACCGAAATTTTTGGAAAATTACTAGAAAGTTACTAAACATTCACTAGATTTCGTTGAAGTGTGACCAGCCAAATGTTTCTACATGCATGCATAGTGCATACATGAGATAGTGTGACCTAATGCATTAGATGATTGAGCAAACAGTCTAAGTATCTAGATGTCGTTCAATAATTCCTTTTTTACTGTAGAAAATATTTCAGAAAAAAATCCCGTATGTACCCAAAAAATAGTCCAACATAAGTGGCTAGGAAGTGATTAAATATTTGTTCTGTTATGCTCCTGGCGGGCTTCTTTGAAAATATATCTTCGACTAAATTTAATATTCTATCTACAGCTTGGCCGCATCATTGATTAGTTTGGAAAATTTAATAATTTCTTTTTTTTCTTGTTAAGAAAGGTACACCTGTTGTAACTTTTTAAAAAATCGATTTTTTTGCATTTTCTTAAATTACACGTTTTTAGAAGTGTGTTTGTAAATTTTTCTTCTGATCCGGTGAAAAATAAATGATATATACAGTACAATGCGGAGGCGCGCCAGATAGCTACAGACCAAGGAGCAGCAACACCTAACGCCAATAATACTAGGGCTTCCCCTTTTATCCTCTTCTTCGGAAGAGGAGAATTGGAAGAATTGTTATATGGTCCAGGAATTGATGTTTCATTGTAAAATCAAAAAAATCTCTTCTAGACAAAAAAGTAAGTTGAAACTTTAAATGTGCCATTTTGTTAAATATGTATATTTTTTTAATCTTTCGATTGAAAACAGGACAATTTTATAAGAAATGTAAATTAATTTTTATTTTTGCATTTTAGATTAACTACACTTGCGGAATTCTGATCACCGGATTTCATGTTTTTCCCGAAGCCGTTATTCCGTTAGCTCATTATACCTAAAACTTTCGATAAAAAAAAATTTGTTGTTGTTAATTAAAGTTCTAAAAATGTACTTTTAGGTAATAAATAATATTTAAAAAAACATTCATGGTTTATTAAGAAAACATTTTTGAAAAAGACCTTTTTCGCGTTATAACTGGTGTACTTCCTTTAAAAAAAAATATTTATATATATATATATATATATATTATATCAATATCGAAACAAAACAATATTTAGGAATGCTTTTAGATCTGAATCTGTTCCCTGAACGTAATATTAAAACAATTCGACTTATCTATGTAACGACAGAAAATACCACATTAAAAAGTTAATTTTAAATTATTGGACTAATTTTGTCTTATATAAAATTATAGATATCAGTGGACAGCTGGAAACGCAGGAACTCATTTCTGGCATGCACATACTGGTTTACAAAAGATGGATGGACTTTATGGAAGTGTTATTGTCAGACAACCACCAAGCAAAGATCCAAATAGTAATCTTTACGATTATGATCTAACGACACACGTTTTGTTAATAAGCGATTGGATGCACGAAGATGCTGCTGAAAGATATCCTGGTAGACTAGCTGTCAATGTTGGCCAAGACCCTGAAACAGTTCTTATTAATGGAAAAGGACAGTTTAGAGTAAGCATTAATCTATACCTAAACAATTTTTTTCGTTTAAGTCATATTACACTACACCTAAAAAAAATAATTAAGCGTACTTAAAACTCTAAACATTTCAACTTATTGTGAGTTTATTGTCTTAACATTATCGTGCGAAGATTCATAATATCGTGCAATTCAAATTTGAGCTCATTTTAACAGAAAAATAATTAACTAACTAGAATTCCACTAAACTATTAATTGAATTTTTTTAAGATTCAGAGCAATTATATTCTACGATAATTTAAAAGGAACCATTATGGTTAAAAGTGGAAGGTAATTGACATTAGCGCTTGTAGTAGTTAGCCATATGAATTATGATGGCAATGTAGTAAAAGAAATACTTTTGTCCAAACTTATCAATGAAGTTTTTTTCAGGATCCCAATACAGGTTTCATGACAAATACACCGTTGGAAGTTTTTACAATTACAGCAGGAAGACGTTATCGTTTCCGTCTTATTAATTCTTTTGGTTCCGTTTGTCCAGCACAAATTACATTCCAAGGTCACACCTTGACTTTAATAGCTACAGATGGTGAACCAGTCCATCCTGTTGCAGTGAACACTATTATTTCATTTTCTGGTAAGTTTAAATGTATCGCGGGATATTTTCGATCCAATTTTTTTATTGTACTTTACAGTAGTGTTACGTCTCAAAAATAGAGAAATAACTAAACAAACAAAATTTATATTTACTTCGCCCGCTTTTGGTTGAAAATTTAGAAATGAAAACAAAAGTTACCTTTGTGATAAGTAATACTTGTAAACCTACTCAGTCAATATTCGTTCGATGCTCAAGCAACACGTTTAAGAATTGTTAGAATTAGAGTCATTAGAAGAATTGTTTCTAAATAAAATGTTGCAAAAAAGAAAAAGATACACTGAGAGAAGAAAAGCACAGAATCGGTACTGTGACAAACGCCGGCCGTGTAAAATGGGTGTCAGTATCCGTTCTTTAGTTTTGTTCAGTTGGTGTCGTTCATAGTTCAGATACTAAGCTCTAGCAGCGCGGCAGCAGTGTGAACTAAGTTATACGGAATCTGTCTCATAGCGACCGACAGATACTGTACTTCTGAACAGTTCCAAATCTGTGTACAGTATCTATACTCAAGCCGAGCACAACATCCATTTCACATTTTAGTACGGCATCTATCTCATACATTTAAATTACGAAGAGACTGTAGAAACTGAAGAAGACGATTAACGAGATGACCCAATGATTTCTACTAACGATGCTTTTCGTCATTTATCTGAATTGAAATTTACTTCCTGTACACTAATGACACCACAGGACTGCAATTAACATCAAATGCAGAAATGCACTTAGAACGTAATAATGCCGTAATTCCTAAAAAGCAAACTTCGATTTTTATTTTTGTAAATGATGCAATTAAATTTCAAATTTGACTTTTTTTATTCTTTATACATGTGTTATTTTAAAACCTCCCAATAGCGGACACCTCCGCTAACGGACGATTTCATCTTTCACGGTCGGTGTCCGCTATTGGGAGATTTCACTGCATAATTGAAATATAGGCTTCAGTGATATACTCAGGTCCGGAGTCTAGTTGACTGTGACGAAACAAAAATTAGAAGAAAATAGAGTAAAAGGAAAGGAGTAAAAATATTCGCCAAGGATTGTAGTAAAGTAAAATTGAATCCTCGAGAACTTGAATGGTTTTCTTCCAAACTATTGATGGAGAACTTCTTCTCGTACGTAGTACAAAGAAAATTCTTTTAAGTCCAAACGAATATAAATTTGGACAGAGAAACAGTACTTGGAAACTTAGAAAATTCGTATGTGATGATGCGCTAGTAAATCTGAACTGACTTCTATTGGCATATGTGGTCATTTTTATACAGGATTTTCACAAAAGGTGAAAAAATTCTCAGGTGTGGGTTGCATCTGTTCCACCCTCTCAAAAAAGAGTGACCATCTGAACCTCATTTGGTATTTTTTGAAAATACAGAATTTGTTAGAAATGTATTTTTTTGTATTAATAAAAAGTAAGCTTGTTACAGTATTACAGCTGCAATGTTAAATAAATGAAGTATATAAAAACGTTACGGTGACGTGACAGTAATACCAAATAATACTTAAAATTATTAAGTAATATTTTTTTGTTTATTCTAGGTGAACGATACGATTTTATTATTAATGCGGACCAAGCAGTTGGAGCTTACTGGATTCAACTTCGTGGACTTGGAGAGTGTGGAATTAAAAGAGCACAACAATTGGGAATTCTACGATACGCAAGAGGTCCATATCAACCGACATCACAACCTCCAACCTATGACTTAGGTCTACCTCAAGGAATTGTAAGTTATTCCCATTTTTGCTAAAATTAAAAAAATCGTTAAACCTGAATTGGTAAGTTTAAATTGATACGTTATAGGTTCTTAATCCTTTGGATGCAATTTGCAACCAACCACGAGAAGATGCTATTTGTATTAATCAACTGAAAAATGCTCATCATATTGATAAAGGAATTCTTCAACCTAGACCAGATGTTAAAATTTTCTTACCTTTCCGCTTTTTGTTCTACAGACCCGAAGAAGTATTCCAACCTAATACATACAATCGATATTTAGGTAATGTTGTCTAATTTAATAAATTTGTTTTCGTACATGATTTTATTAACAAAAAAATGCATTTTTTCAGTCGCTCCATCGGGTGATCATGTCATATCTCTTGTCGATGAGATTTCATTTACCTTCCCACCAGCTCCACCAATTTCTCAAATCGACGATATTCCACCAGAACAATTTTGTAATGGAGACAATAGACCAGCTGACTGTGGTGCCAATTGCATGTGCACACATAAAGTTGATATTCCCTACAATGCAATTGTTGAAGTTGTTCTTGTTGATGAAGGTTTGTAGTTTTGCAAAACTGATTTAATTTTCAATTTCACCACAAAGAAGTATACTTTAAGAACTGAATTTCTAGAAAAATTCAACGCAATATTTCCTTCCCGACATTTTTTTACTTGTACCAACATTTCCTAAAGTTCGCATTGTTTTTTCAATTTTTTACGGCGAACTTGAGGAAATGATAATGAAATATCTAATATTGGGTATGAGTATTGTAAATTAAAAATTATATAATTACAATGTTTTAAATATTACAGTTCAGCAGCCAAATTTATCACATCCATTCCATTTGCATGGTTATGCTTTTAATGTAATCGGAATGGGTCGATCACCAGATAGAAATGTGAAAAAAATCAATTTAAAACATGCTCTCGATCTTGATAGACGAGGTCTTTTACATCGTGAATTCAATCTTCCTCCTGCAAAGGACACAATAGCAGTTCCTAATAACGGATATGTTGTCTTCCGTTTCCGTGCGGATAATCCAGGTAATGTTTTTCTTAATATAATAATAGAATGTGACGGAAAAATATTTCTTAACGTTATTTTGAGAAATAAATGATCAAATATCCTAGGATAAGGGTAAAAAGTCAATAGTTCGCTCCTGCGACCTTACAGCGATCTTAGCGCCAACAGTTCGATATATTGGCGCATTACCAAAAATCATTGGGTCCTTTCCTCACTCTTTGTCTGTACGTCATATTATGTTTGTGGAGTATATTTCCTGTATGAATTTGTATTTTATACATCATTATATTCGTTAATTATTCTGATCAATCAAATATTTGACTATTGTATTGGAAGATCGACATTTATTTGGAAATATTTTCTTACGAGGAAGTGATAAATCTGCATAACCCTTGATATCCAAGGCAGATACATGGAGCCCGGTGCTCTTAGATTATGTGGGGATGACCGTTCTTGTTCATGTTGACCCACTAAAAACCACACCCCTTGGCTGGACTAATCCTCACTACGGAACTGCAGTCAAGCTTTAAACTTCGTAGGTGAAGGTCCCTGGGATCTCGCTAACGCGACCATTGTCGTTATTGATCTTTCTGGCCTATTTATTCTTCGTTCGTGCAAGAGCCTTCTTGGACTCATCAAGGGCCGTCCTGAAGACTCAGTTGCCTTCGATATGACTAGTGTTCGCTTTATCACCATACTTTTCTCTACATAAGAAGTAGCTTGGGCTTCTACTGCATTTTGCAAACTTATGATCGACTTCACCGCACTTGAAGCACGCAGACGACCTGTCCGCTGCCTTACAAACTCTTTCTATGTGGCTGTACGCCAGCCACCGGTTACACCAAACAGCCATCACTCTTTTTTTGATTAGGCAACACATAAAGCCAATCCTCATGCGACCCACCTTCTCCAGCCTATCCATCTTCTGTGGCTTGGTTACTACAACCGCGAGCTTCATTCTGGAGTACTTCTGCTTACGCCTGTTGGACCTCTTCTTCCTGGGTTAGGCAATCCAGGTCACGGATCTCCAGTATGACCTGTCGATCCACAGTCTGCACCTTCCCCATGCTTCCAACCGCTTTGGTGACATCAGCCGTGAATGTCTCCTTATTGGAGTATCCTCCAACTTTAATCAGGAGATCTTCTCTTGTAGTAGGCCTAGAGCCAACAACTTGCGTGTGACTGACGTCCGGATTCACCTCCTTCCGAAGTTTGCTCTGTACGTCGGCATACGTTGTTCCAGTTGTGATTGGGATAACCATTGTAGATCCACTCGTCGCTTTCTCCTTTTTGGATTTCTTAGGATTTTGGGTTACCGTCACCTTCGCAATGTTTTTGACAAAAAGCGCTTTCTCTTGCCTTCTCTTCTTCGCCTAGGCGTTATCCCTCTCCGGACTGCCACAGATTTTTCTTCGTTTCTGCGCGCCGAAGCCGCTTCTCTGGGATACGCTCTTTTTTTGTTTCGCTCTTCTCGGTTCACCTCAGCATTGCCTATAGCGCCACTCAAGTAGCCATCCATCTCCATTATCTGTTAGGGCGCACTTTGCCTTCGTCTCACTGACAAGATCCTGAAGAGTCTCAAGTCCGTTCTTAATAGTTATGTTGACATTCTTCTGGACTTCGCAAGACTTTATCATCTTGACGATTTCCTCTTCGATCCTCTAAAGACACTCAGCTTCCTACTGTCTAAACTTTAAACACTTCACGCGCTCTTCTTCAATTGTCTCGTTGTCTAGATCAGACGGAATCAAACTTCTTCCGCTGCTGACACTCAAAACACTTGAAGCGCTTTCTCTTCTACTTCCAAGTCTTTTCAAACGGACCTGGGGAACCTTAAAAAACTGGGGGTCTCCATGGTCCACTCTCCTTGTGGCATTGAATGCTGCAGTACCCATGGTGTCCAATACTGCAGCACTGTTGTCACTGGATTTCGACGCTGGGAAGTCAACTTTTTAGAAATATTTTATTTGATTGTTTGATCATATTATTAAAGAAAGAGTCTATATTTGATCATATAGATCTCATCCAAGTAAGTGATTAATATATCTCTTTTATTTTATCTTTGTAATAAATTTGTATTCCTGGAAGTTGCTTAATCTTTTATTTTTATGTTTTGTATTTATGGATTCACAAACTTCCCTCCCTGTGATATTTAAAGTCTTTTGTTAATTTTAATTAATAAATTAACTGGAGTCCGCGTGCAATTTATATCTTTATTTTATTGTCAAATAGTGCACCAGCATCGCGCTGGGTGTGGAAAATTTTTTATGTATTTCTTGGAAATTTTGATCATTTATTCTTATTTAATTATTTTTCTTTAAAATAGAAATTTTTCCGTCTCAAGAATATATGTTTAAAAAATACAAATTGGATTGGGCCAAAAAAATTTTAAATCACTCTTCTCAAAAGCGTTTATTAACAGTACCGAAAACGGAAGCTAATTTAAAATATATATTTTCATTCTATTTATTTTTGTCTAAATAAAAATTAACGATATTATTATAATTATTTCAGGATATTGGCTTTTCCATTGTCATTTTCTCTTCCACATCGTCATTGGTATGAATTTAATTCTACATGTTGGAACGCATGCCGATTTGCCTCCAGTTCCACCAAATTTCCCAACTTGTGGTGATCATTTGCCTCCAATCACACCGCCACTTCCCATTGAGTCTTCCTATAAATGATCTCAACAATAAGTTCATAATAAACCGATAAATTAAATGCTAATTTAACGGTCGATAAGAACTTAACAATCACAGCATATATTGATAATGCCATTCTCAATTTCATCGTGAAGATCATTTAAAATTGTAATTCGACAAAATTATAATCTTCATTTAATATATGTATCCCACCTCATTGATTTGTAAAAATATTTATATGTAATGTTTACATTACAAAAAAAGAAATTTGAAAATTTACAAACAAGAATTCATAATATTTTTCATTTACAGATGTATGGCCTTCAGAAATTTATAGTCTAGTAATATGAAAATAATTGAAACAAAAAAAAACACAAAATTGTCATAATCATTTATGAAAATTATTTTAGATCAATTTTTTTAATTTTTAAATCACAATTTTATTTTAAGTAGGGAAATAGTCTAGTATATGACTTTCAAAGTTAACTAGACAAACTATATTTTATTTTCAGGTCACATGTTTTAAAAAACAAATTTTGAGTTGCAAAATAAATATTTGTGACTTTATAGTACCCGGTATAAAGGTTTAAATAGAGAAGAATTAAATAAAATCAAAATATTTAATTCTTTTTAATAGGCGAATTCTCTATTGAGAGCCCGTTTTCATCGTGTGGATAAATTTAATCTTTCGAGAGGTTAAAGACAGTAGATATATTCTGCGTCTGCGCAGAATGTATATAGCTTATGCGCAGACGCAGAATATATCTACAGCCTTTAACCTCTCGGAAGATTAAATTTATCCACACGATGAAACCCGGCTCTTAGTAAAAAGATTTTAATTAATAAATAGACTACCAAACTAACTCCCTTTAATTTTTATATATATATGGACTTTTGAATTTAATGCTGACAAATAATTATTTTCTTTTAATCACCTTTAATTTTACAAGTAACAATATTTTTGAATTATTATAAAATGCAACATTTGTCGAAAAAAAATATGCTAGATCGACTTTATAACATTGGACATTAGAAAAAATTATATAAGCATCTTAAGGTGTCAATATATAAGATTGCATTTCACTCATATTAAATTTATTTTTAAAAAATGTATTAAAAAGGAATAGACTGATTAAATTTTTTTTGAAATTGGAAAATTCTCCTATTGAATGGGATTCGGATTATAAATTCTTTTCTATTACTCTGCTGTTACTGGGTACCAAAAATGTTGCATAGAACATTTTAAAACTGAATCATTTTCAGTTATCGATTGTAGATTTTTTGTAATGATATTAATTTAGTTACTTACAGCGAGTAAAAAAAAATTCTTTTTTTCTGTACAGTAGACTCTCGTTAATCCGAAACATATTAGATTAGTCTGTGTGGGATTATCGTCTGGATATTATCGGAAAAATAATTGTAAATGAAATTTCTATTAGATAAGTCGAATTCCTTTAAAAATTAAATTTTTTTTTCACAAATTTTTCTCCCAATTTTTTTTTTCTATATAAAATGTAACATTTTGATAAAAGGGAGAACTTGTTTTAAATACGTAAAATTTCACTGGATGTGATATTTGAAAAATGAAAGTTTTATCCCTAAAAATAAACACCAGATTACTAGATGAGCCGCCGAAGCGTAGTATTGGATTAGCGTGCCTACTGCATTTTCCCAAAATGGCGAAAAAAAGTATGATCTACATATTGTCAACAGCATTTAATTCAAATTATTTCTGTCATGACAAAGCAAGATTTAAAAATATTTATTGCCAAATTAAAGATATTTCTCTTGCTTTATTTAATGAAATATATATATATATATATTATATATGTCGAGAAATAATTTGTTACTTGACGATTTTGTTATTAATTAAATAGAAATATTTTTTTATTGTAAATTAGGTATTTTTTTTCGTCTCGAATCAAATTATTTCTTGAAATTTTTTTTTCTTTTATAGAAAATATTAAATTTATAGGTGGAATGTATTTTCAAAAATGGTTCAAATTATTTGAATTTGATTCATTTTGTTTATATGTATATGTAAATTCAAAATAATTAAATACCTTATATATGATTTAAATATTGATGCTTATATACTATATATTTTGTAAGTATTTAATTATTGCTTATTAAATCCATTAATAATAAATGTGTTTTAAAAGTTAATTAATATTTATTGTGTTTACCGATTACATTTACATGAAACTAATAAATATATTCATTTGAGCTTTTGTCTTATCAATTTTTATAATTAAATTATCTTCTAATTATTCAAAAAATGGTTTTAATAAATTATAATTAAATAAAATGAAAATTTCTTTTCTCAATTGGTTTTGTCTCAATTTATGTCATAATTGACCTATGGTGCTATATTTTATGAATAATTGTTATTAGAATTACAAACAATTACAAAAGCAATTTCAAAATCATCTAATCAGGGCAAATATATACTAACGAAACTAACGTATTAGTTAAAAATGTATTAGGAGTGATGTAAATAATTTTGTATGTAGAATAGTCATTGCGTTGAAAAATATATTGCGAGCCATCACATCATAACATTGAAAACAAATTTTAAAAAAATGAATCGATAGATTTAAATATATTAACAAACACTTTTTATATATGAAAAAAAATTATACAAAAATAATTAATTTTTTTTTCATTAATTAATTCGACGAATGACAAGAGTTATTGTTGTAAAATATATTTAATAAAATAATATTTTTGTTACTTATACTATAAATAAGTATATTTTCTTCCATTTTAATTTTGTATACTAAATTCTTTATTTAATGGAAAAATATTCTCTTTTTGATAATTAGTATTTTTTCTTATTTAATAAATTATTAAACATTTATTTTGAAATATATAAGATTCCTATATCTAAAATTTTTATTATTCCTAATGAAATTTATTATTTAATTCATATTGGTGTTTTTTCTTTTTCAGCTTTTCACTTCAAACCTGGAGGCGAGTTCCTCCACTTCTACCGAATTTTAAGTGGAATTGTATATTTTTAAACTTTACAAACAATGAAAACAATGAAACTCTAACAATATGCAATTTAACTAAATTGAATTTAAACTAAAATTTCGACATTAAAAATTTCGGTGAGAGTTTTAAAATTGAATTAGAATTTTTTTAAAAAATAAATTGCTTAAGCTTTTTTCAAATCCAGTATTGTTATTCTTGGTAGACCTTGTCGTGGTGGTGGGGCTTTTCACTAAAGAACAACCAATAACCAGGGTATGACGTATAATTTATATACAGTAACAAAAATACCTAATTAACAATTTTCAATCGAATTTAATTTTTACAAAATTGTCTACCTTATTGTATATGCTATTCGATTTTGATTTTTTGAAAAACTAACAACGAATTCGTGATCAGCGATTATAAATTTATTATATAAATAATATAAAATTGAAGTTAAATTTGAAAAAATTAAATAATTATAAATTTTCAAAAATTTATAACTTTCGAGATTTGTATTAAAGATATGAAAAAATCAATGTTAGGAAAAAATTATAAATTGTTATAAACAAATTATATAAACAAATTTTAATTTTAGATAATTACTTTCATCGATTTTAATGGAAATAGTGACCCAGAGGTTTTTGGCATCGCTGATCACGAATTCGATGTTAGTTTTTCAAAAAATCAAAATCGAATAGCATATCCAATAAGGTAAACAATTTTGTAATAATTAAATTCGATTGAAAATTGTTATTTAGGTATTTTTGTTACTGTATATAAATTATACGTCAGTCTTTTTAAAAATTTTAAATGTCTTCTAAGAAAACTTTTTTAAGCGAATCCAATGAATTTTTAAAAATTCGTTCGTGATATTGGATCCGCCATTTTGAATTTTGAAAGACTAACATCGAATTCGTGATTAGCGACCACAAAAACCCCCGAGTAACCAGATTCAAGCGAATTTAAGCGATTTTTAAAATTTTTGTCCGCCATATTGGATCCGCCATTTTGAATTTTGAAAAACTGACATCGAATTCGTGGTCAGCGACCCCAAAAACCCCCGAATAACCAGATTCAAGCGAATTTAAGCGATTTTTAAAATTTTTGTCCGCCATATTGGATCAGCCATTTTGAATTTTGAAAAACTGACATCGAATTCGTGATCAGCGACCCCGAAAACCCCCGAGTAATCAGTTTCATTTAAGTTAATTGAAATAAATAATCACTTAATTCAAATTCACAAAATTTTCTGAAACATTAAATCTTTTAAATTTAACATATGATTTAATTGTTGTTATAAGAATACTAATTTATTTATTATATTAAAGATGATTTAAAGCGAGAAGCATTTAACTGAGAAACACTTACTTCCCCTTTGCGCAGAGTCACTGAAGGGGGCAGGTCTCGCCGTGTCGCATCTCCAAAAGGTTTAAGTGTGAAACGCGCATAATGCTTCGGCTGAATCCCTCATCGGTTCCGACCGTCAAGCGCCTGGCGTGGGGGTAAAAAGGGAAGCGCATCGAGCCTTCTGAATGTGATGAGTGGTAGCACTGGGAGGACCGCACATAGCGCCATTCACTCAAAGGTTGATGATGAGGCGATAGAGGAAACGAGAGAGGTTTGCTCTAGACTTCGAAGTGAGGAATCGTCGTGTCTCGACAAAATAAATACTGTCAACAGGACCGTAAAGGATAACCTTAAAATAATCCAAGCCCTGGGGACTGAGGCAAAGAAGAAGCATGTTGTGGCTGACGAGTCGGACTTCGACTTGTTGTGCGTTCATAGCGATGCGGTAGTTAACCGCAAGGACCGTAATGAAGAGAAGGAACGACGCTTTAACCGCAGGCTTAAAAGCGCTGTTAAGGAAGCGCAAGAAGGAGGAGAGAGGGTGACATCGCCTAAATGTTTAACGTGCAGAAACTCCCTGTACAGGTATACAAGCACGGTCCCCCATGAGACACGGGGTCAAGAGTTAATGCCTGACCAGCACCGATGACGCAGAATTTCTTCCAGTCAACTGCCAGTTGACAATGCGACCGACCTAAGTCACGATTTCCACTCTTGGTAAGAGCCGGGACCTTTCTAATCCAGACACGTCCCGTGGTACCATTTTACTAAGGTATGAGTACCACTTTCCAGTATCCGGGGAACCGGAGGCCATACTGGCGGTCGGTTACCGTTTAAATACGACAACATGCACCACATATATGCCAAGACCAACCGGAAGGTAGTGATTTCCGAAAAACTCGGAACTACTTCAGGTCAAGGCAAGCGGCAACACGTGCCGAAGCCACCATCCTTTACCATTAGCCTATTGGAACATCACGATTGAACCATTCGGCATTTTGGGATGCTTATTGACCAATGTTACACAGGTTTGTTAATTGTTGGCAGCGGCGAGATTGATGCCAGAAAAACTCTAAAGCAAACCTCCTAAGACAATAACAGTTGCAAGTATAACACAGACAACCGTCCTCTAGCATTACCATTACGGGAGTTCACTATCATCACCGTGGCTTTTGGGACGCATTCTCAATTATCCGACTCGCACGGATCGCATTGAGGACGGATGAACAAATATTTGCCTTGCATGAACGCCTCTGCACTGCCAGCCCCTAGCCTCCAATGGCAACGCAAGAAAACGCGGCGGATGTACCGCAGTCTAAATGTCCAGGATCACAAAATGGTGACAAGAGGATCCACTATGCTGATCCGAGTGGGTCAAGAATCGACGTATGCTGACGTTTTGGGTAACCTTCATAAAGAGGTCAACTCGGACATCAGCCACACTAAAGTTGTAGCGACAAGAGCTACGAGGGGAGACATGATTAAAAGTGGATCGAAGAGTTACGCTCGAGATCGGCGACTTGGATTGCCTTACCCAGGTAGCAGAAGTCCAACAAGTGTTGGCAGAAATGCTCGGAAAGCCTGGAAGCATGAAGGTGACGGTCTTAGGATCCAACCGTCGAGGAATGAAGCTCGCTGTTGTAGTCACCAACCGAGAAGAAGCGGACAGGGTGGAGAAATTGGATCTTGTAAAGGTTGGATTTATGTGTTGCCCAATTAAAAGAAGGTTAATGCTCGTGAGGTGTTATCGATGCCTGGGGTACGGGCATATAGAGAGAAATTGTCAGGAGGACAGATCGGCTGCGTGCTTTAGGTGCAGAGAAGCCGGTCATAAGTCCTCTGACTGTTCAAAGAGCCCAAGTTGCTTCCTATGTAAAAAAAGTTTTGGCAATAAGGTGTCAATCATCCATGTTGCCGGCAGCGGAGGATGCGGAGTCTTCAGGACAGCCCTGGAGGAAGCGAAGAAGACTCTCGCAAGAATAAAAAATCCTCGTGGCCTCTCGAAGCCTTTATAATCTTGGTTATGAAATAAAAGAACACGGTGGTCTAGAAGCAGTCACAGGTATGACAAAAATGGGTATAAAAAGTACAAAGTGGGTTTTGTTCGTGACTATTTCTAGTTTAAAAATTCGTTCAGACCAAAATCCTAGAGCCCCCTATTCTCAAGATATCGTCATTTACGTTTTTTCAATCTTCTTGCGCAAAGTCAAGCGAAAAGCGAACGCCTTTCTTACTTAAATATTTATGTTTTTATTATTTTTATTCAATCTTAAACGTATATTTATTATTAAAAAAATAATAGTAAGTAAAAAAATAAGCTGTTAAATGACAATATTAAACCGTAAAGGATTGAAGTGAAAATAAAATATCAATACCCCGTAAAAAACTTTCGAATTTAGATCAATATTGAATGTTAAGTTGAATTCTGCATAAACAAAATCATGTAATCATATGAAGTTAGTCGTTTTTCAATAGATTCAACGTTTGACATTTTTAATTTGTCAATATAACCTTTGCTTTCAACTGCAACTATCTTTCAAAATAAGTAAATCTGTTTCTATTACTTTATTAAATTTTTATTAATGTTTTATTAATCTATTATAAATCATGGAATTTTATTATTATAATCTTGCATAAAATATTTTATTATTAAATAGATTATAGAGGGGATAAAGGACTCCTAAGAAGGTTTGACGGTTTTTAGTGGGTCGGGCTGGTAGTAGTTTGCCAGCTTATTTTGTTTTTTCTCCTTTTTTAGCAACCCTACATAACCTTGGCATGCGGAAGCCGAGGTATCTGTAATTATAATTCAAAAATGGAAATGATCGTAAAAAGGTAACATTTGAATAATTGGATAAATTAATTTATATGAATTTATTTATTACAAACATATTTTATTTTAAAGCACATTCATTTCTTAATTAAATTTTTTTATATTATATACATTCATCTAGAACAATATGTCAAAAGTACAAAATTTCAATTTTAATTTAATCTTAATTTTTTAATTAATAAAATCGAGTTAATTAAGTTAATTAATCAATTAACTGATTCAAATAATAATTATCAGAATAAAACATTAGTTTTTATCCATGACGAAGTTTAAGTTTACTTCGGTTTCTGAAAGAAAAAAAATTATACCACTATATTTAACAATAAAATACATTTCATTAATATTTTATAAACATCATATGTAAAATTTTAAGGTCCTTTGTGCGAAGTACCTTAGAGATTAACTTTTTAGTCATTTATTTTATTTTCTGAATTTATTTAAATTTAAATAAAGATTAGGATACAAATAAAAATTCCAAGTTAAAATATCAAAAAAATTAACTCCAAAATATATTTTTTCTAAAACGTAAAATTTCCAAAGTAAAAAAATTCAAAAAAAAATAGCAGTAAAGTAAAGACAAAATAATAAATAATATTTAAATTTTCTTGAAACTGAAATTGTGATATATAAAAATTCTTTTGACTGAAGAATTTGACATTTAAAATTTTTGTTGCATGACATTTTTTTAACTAATAATTTTAATAAATGAAATTTACTAAAAATAAAATTTATCATTAAATTAATTAATTCTTTCAACTAAAATTTCTGTCATTTATAAAATTTATGTTTCTGAAAATGTAATTCTTAATAATTCATTTTGTAAAAATAATAATTTTGGAATTTTTGCATTGGTACTTTTATTTTGGAATTTTTACCTCTTTAGCAACTCTTTAAGTTATGTGGACCTCGATAACAGATTTGCAAGCTTTATACAAAATAAAAAAATGAAGTAAAATTATATACCTGTTGAATTCGTAGAGATTGATCTAAAGCATGAGGCAATAAAGGACGTACGCTATTAACTTCCATTGTTGTTAAATTATCTAATCTAGCATGCTGTCCTTCCCTTGTTATAAAAGTATGAACAGAGGTTCTTAATTTTGCCATTCTTAAATCCCATATATCCTGAAATTTTTTTAAAAAACAATTTCACTTTGTAATGAAATTTAAATCTTAAATTTAAGGAATTAGAATAATATGTACAGATGAATTTAACAACCAGTGGGTTTTCAATTATTTATAATTAATAATATAATAATATATAATAATTAAGAGCGTAATTTACAGATTTTAAATTCAAAAAATGAGATATTTAAAAAAAAATTTATCGATACAGAAAATAAATATACAAACGCATTTTTTTTAAATAAGTTAATTTTGTTATTTTTATCAAGTTTAAAAAATTTTAAATATCTGTAATTAAAAATTTCAATTGAAAATCTCCTGAAATTCAATTATTTCCAAAATTTTTTAATCAAAACTTTTCTAAATTAAATTATATTTAAAAATCTTCTGAAATTCAATTATTTCATAAATTTTCATATAAAATTAATTAGGAGGTTTTAGTATGAATAAAACGATAACATTCGGACCATTGTTGTTTTAAAAAAAGTTTACTCCATCGTTTTGAAATCTAAATTGATTTCCTCTTCAGGGAGTCTACCAAAATTACAATAAATTTTCAAATAAACAAATACAATAAATATTAAAAATAAAATAAACTACAATATCTAATAAATTAAATTTTAATAAACTAAAATTATAAATTAAATTTACTATAAAATTAATTAAATAAAATAAATTATTAATTTTAAATAATTGAAGTAATAATTGAAAAGGAAAATTAAAATTATAAATTACGTACCTACCAATTAAATGAATCTATTAAAAAAACATGTAATAAATAAACAAACACACAAACAATAAATAATTAGATAAATAATCACAATAATTGATAAAAAAAATAAAATCGATACATAAGTAAAATAAAATAAGTATGCTTTTTGCAACATCAATTTTGAAACTGAACTCCAACAACTATCGACTTCTTACAATAAATTTTGCAAATTATTAGAAAAAAAATTTTAAATCATTTCATACGACACATCAAAATTTTTTAAATCTTTTATTTTATTTAAATTATTGTATCCTGCTTTTTTAATAAAATACATTTCAGCAAATAATCGCTTTTTTAGATTTGGTTCAACATGCAAAATCTCAAATTCATCCCATTTTATAAAATAATTAATTATCCTCTAAAATTAATTTTGGGTTTTTCAATAATATTTTAATCAAATTCTCGGAAAATTCAATTATTCAAAACAATTTCCGAAATTCTGAATTCAAATAATGTGCATAAATCAGACTTGAAAAATTTTCTTTTTTTTTAATGTAACTAACTTATTTTTGAAAAATTCTGAAACTGAATTGAAATCTTGAAAATTTGTCTCAGTTTAATTCGGTGGTTAAAAAAAAATTGTTGAAAGTATTTCTGTGAAACATTCTTATTGAGGAATTAATAAATTTGATTTAATTTCTAATAATAAATTGTTAATAATAATAAAATATTTATCAACTAATTGAAAATGTCAAAAATTATAATTTTAGTAGCATTTTTAGAAATTTTTTTCCAATACACAATTCCCCTTTAAATTTGTACCTTTTTTCTAATACTGTAAGCAATTTTTTTTTCATTTATTTCTCTAATTGTTATTAAACATACCTTTACTGCCGTTCTTAAATTATCAGCATCGGGTATATCATCATTAAATGAACCAAGAAGTATTTGTGCTTGTTCCATGTAGTGATTGCTTGGCATTTGTGTAAACGAACTGAGAAAGCAAAAAATATGTTAATTTTTCTATTAAATATTTAAGAAAATTCCAATTATTAATGATTTTTTTTTTGCTAATTTTTTTATCTTCGAAAATAATTGGTAATTGATTTTATTCTACAACAAAAACTGACTAAAATACATAATTCTTAAAATTATTTGAGGGGAACAAAAATTCCAGATTATGGTAGGGGAATAGTGTCAGGGTTGGACACTTGGCTTTTTTTAAATAAGAACACTAGCGCCACCTGTGTGCGTACGTGACGAATCTTCTAGTAGTGTAACCTAACTTTTTGTGGCATTACATTTTTGGAGAATCAAAAGTAGCGTCTCCTGTGACTTCGGTGCAATCGAAGAGACAAAAAAAGTTTTGTTTGACTTGTGAATAAACCTAAAAAATGTGTAAAAAAGCAAGAATTCGGCAAGGTAAGCTTATTGAATGTATTGTGGGGTACATAATTTAAGAAGAAAAAAAGTGAAAAATTGAATCGCGACACATGTCTGGTTATGGTTAGCACAATTCGAAAATGATGCTTCTAGTTAGGGTTGGACACCCATATTAATTATGAATTTGACACAATTTATAAATAAATTTTATTTTATTGATATTTCAGTGCAAAATTGTGCCAAAGATATTAGAAAAATAATACTTGTATAAATTTTGTTCATCATTTCATTAAGTTATTTGGAACAATAAAGCGTTATTTTTTGTAATTTGAGTTCATTCCTTTTTTAAACCCATGAAGCTTTAGAATTTGTAAACAATAAGTAAAGATAAACATGAAAAAATAAGAATAAAAAACATTACAAATGTTATTTTACGTTTTTACCAATAATGCGTTTCGATTTTCAAAAAGTGTCCAACCCTGCCTAGATTTTTTTTTTAAAATGTTTATAACTTTTTTAATTTTGGACCAATCAATTTACGGTCCACAGCAAAAGTGTTCCTCTTTTGTAGATCTTTCCACCCATATACCACAATTGACTGAATTTATCTAAACAAAATATTTATAAACAAAAAACCAAAACTGTGTCCAACCCTGACACTATTCCCCTATTTATTTGATTTTTACACGATATTTTTTGTTGTAAAAGTGACTAAAATTTTTGAACTGTTTTTTATCTTACTTTCAGGACTCGCAAATTTTAAATATAAATAGGTATAAAAATAAAAAAAAAGTATCCCATCAATTATTTTTGATTGTATAATAAAAAACACATTTCAATTAAGTCCAAAAACGTTAAAAAACTTAATTTTTTATAAATATATGTGCGATTCCAGGTGAGATTTTGACTTTTTCGGAGTAGGTTAACCGATTGAAATGAAACTTTGGAATTTTGTTATATATAGTAAGACTAATCTTTAACGTAAATTTCAGCTTAAAATATTTGTTAGTTTACGAGATTTGCAATAAAAACAAAAAATTTTAAACTGCAATATTTTCCGTTCTAATAGTCAGATTGAGGTCTACTTTTTTTTAAAATGTCAAGGAAAATGAGAGGAATAAATCTCTTTCAGAAATTTTATTTATAATTTTACAACTAAAAAAATTATGAATTTTCCGCACATAACAGACATAGTCTATGTTATTCTGAACATTTTCCAAAAGGTTTTTTTAAAAAATATTCAAAATTGTGCTTTTCACATACCTGAGAAGTTTGCGTGTCATGCGCCATGATTTGTGACGTCACGAAGGTTCAAATGCTCTTAAATAATAATTGAATAAATTTCACGCGACAATCTAAAATTCAATCACTTAAACGCTACAATGATCTTACCAGTGTTTTCTTTAATGTTCCAATGGAATCCAATTGTAAATGCAAGTTTAACTTATTTTATTTTAATAATTTACGAGTATAAACAATTGCGATTTCTGCTAGTTGATGTGCAGACGACATTGCGCATGCAGCATTCTCTTGTAACCAGCTGACGTGATTCGTGGACTAAATTGACTACGTGAGAATGCTGCGTGCGCAATGTCGTCTGCACGTCAACTAGCAGAAATCGCAATTGTTTATACTCGTAAATTATTAAAATTAAATTAGTTAAACTTGCATTTACAATTGGATTCCTTTGGAACATTAAAGAAAACTCTGGTAAGATCATTTTAGCTTTTAAGTGATTGAATTTTAGATTGTCGCGTGAAATTTATTCAATTATTATTTAATAATTTTTTTAGTTGTAAAATTATAAATAAAATTTCTGAAAGAGATTTATTCCTCTCATTTTCCTTGACATTTTAAAAAAAAGTAGACCTCAATCTGACTATTAGAACGGAAAACATTGCAGTTTAAAATTTTCTGTTATTATTGCAAATCTCGTAAACTAACAAATATTTTATGCTGAAATTTACGTTGAAGATTAGTCTTGCTATATATAACAAAATTCTAAAGTTTCATTGCAATCGGTTAACCTACTCCGAAAAAGTCAAAATCTCACCCGGAATCGCACATATAATACATATTTATATAGGTATTAATTATAATAAATTAAATAAATAAAAATTATTATAAAATTATTTTTCAATTAAAATTTTTATGAAATTTAACTATTGTTTATAATTTAAAAAAATATATCACAATAAAATTGAATTATTTTTTAAAAATTTCAATTCAAAATAAACTAAAATTCAATTATTACCCGAAATTTTAATTCAAAATCAATTAAAAATCCAATAATTATCAAAAATTTTCAATTTAAAATTTAATTATTTACCAAGTTTTCAATTTAAAATGAAATAAAATTCAATTATTTTCTAAAATTTCTATTCAAAATTAATTATCCAAATTTTCAATCAAAAATGAACTACCTCCCTGAAGTACGCAACGTTTATCTTAAACGAAAAATTTTTCTTTAATAATTACATAAAAGTCATTATAATAGGTACAAACTAATAAAAAACAACCAAAAATACAATTTAGAAAAAAAATTACACCACAAACACCCCTATAAAATTGAAAAATCGAAAAAAATAGAAAATATTCTATTATTTCAAATCTCAATGCGGGACCAAGGATATTATTGTTCTTTTCACATCTTTATATGTCCCTTGGAATGTAAAAAAATTGTGGGCGAATTTTATGATCTGCAACCCCGATTTTTTGACCCCTAAAATTTGAAAAAATCGAAAAAAAATCATTATTTTGAATCTAAATGCGGGACCAAAGATTTTATTGTTGTTTTCGCATCTAAATATATCCATTGGAATGTGAAAAAATTGAAGGCGAATTTGATGATCCGCAAACCTGATTTTTTGACCCCTAAATTTTTAAAAATCCAAAAAAATCGAAAAAAAATTCATCATTTCAAATCTAAATGCGGGACCAAAAATTTTATTGTTGTTTTCGCATCTATATATGTCCCTTGGAATGCAAAAAAATTGAAGGCGAATTTGATGATCCGCAACCCAGATTTTTTGACCCCTAAAGTTTGAAAAAATTCAAAAAAATCGAAAAAAAATTCATCTTTTCAAATCTAAAATTGAGCTGCCGGATCAAAGAAGGGCACATAAATTTGTCTCACTGGAAAACGTTGGCCCCTGGCCACTTGAAATTCAACTTTTGATTTTTAATATTTGTTATACATATCCTTATAGGAAATTTGATTGCGCATCTTTTTTTCTAATGAAATTTTCTTCCATCTATTACCGTTTTCGAAATATTCAAGAAAAACCGTTTTTTTGAAAACGTCAAATTTAATTAAATTTTTAACTTCAACTCAAGATATTTCAGTCAATTTTGCATATTTTTCAATGAAACAAAAACGAAAATACACGTTATTATATTCTACGAGTGACTAAGAAAGAAAAAAGCTGTTTTGATTATAAATAAAAAAGTTATTTATTTTTTATTGAGGCATTGCAAAATTCCTGAACTGTAAATTTCACCATGCGGGGAAGTCTGGCAAATTTTGAGTGACAAAAAACTTCCAGTGAGAAAGTTGTTCATAAGGGTCTAAAAAAGTTTTCTGGAAAGTTACATTGCAAATAAATAATTAGTAACAAAATTATGAACGTTTAAAGTTGCGCGAGCGGCTGAACTTTTGCCGTGCGTTTGCTACCATAATAAGTTCGACTGAGCGTATCACTGTGTTTCATAAGTTTTTAAAATGAAAAATCAACTAATTATTTAGTTAGCTACTAAATAACAATTATTATTACTTAACAATGAAGAATTAGTGAATTATAATTTTTTATATTCAGAATATTTTTTTATTTATATTATTTTCAATATAAAACACGTATATAATTCGTTATATAACAGCTTATAATTTTCTTTAAATATAACTTTCATAAATTATTTTTTAATCGAAATCACTATTATCGCTTGAAGAATTCTCATTTTGAGTACTACATTTCTTTGTAGATTTCGTTTCTACGGACGATAAATATTTGTTAAGAAATGAATGTCCTCTTTCAGTCACATAGAATAATAAACTTTTTACATCATTTTTTTTTCGATTAGGCGATTCCTATTGTAGGCGGCTTACATTTAGGAAAAGAATCGATTGTTTTAAGATTTGTTTTTATTAAAAATTCTTTGGAATTTTTCAAATCATAATTTTTGAAAACTTCAATTTTTCCATTTGAAGTGTAGCGAATTACTGAAGCTTCGCTAATTTTTAATCCTTTCGGTTTTATCAACTTATTTTTAAACAATTTTTCAAAATCTTGAAGTTTGTCTGACGCTGATTTAACAACTGTAAAAGGCGGATCTCTGGCGTTTTCAATTAAATCGCAATAATCATTGAATGTTTCAATACGCTCGAGTCTTTTCTTTTTTTTAGCGTACATTCCGAAATTTCGGTCGCATTGGCAATAAGAGTGTCCGCGAACCGGGAATACATGTGAAATTTCAACATTTAATTCCATTGCCAATAGAACGAGAAAAGTAAGCACCGTGTAGTTGCGATTTGGACCAGGAGCTGCATCAGAAAACAAAATAATTTTTTTATGATTTTCTGGATCGAATTCTTTTTTTACGCTATCATACACGAAG